GAACATTTGAATTTCCTTTCTAATCTCTTCCATGACCCACTCATGATTCAGCAGTGTGTTGTTCAGCCTCCATGTGATACCGGACTTTCTTTGGTGGCTTTTGGTGTTGAGTTCTAATTTTATTCCCTTGTGGTCAGAGAGAATGCAAGGTATAACTTCAATGTTTCTGAATTTAGACAAGTTTGCTTTGTGGCCTAAAATGTGGTCTATTTTAGAAAACGTTCCATGTGCTGCTGAGAAAAACGTGTATTCTGATGCTGCTGGGTGAAATGTTCGGTAAATGTCTGTTAAGTCTAGTTGATCTATGCAGCTGTTTAGATCTGCGGTTTCTCTGTTGAGTTTTTGCCGAGTTGATCTATCTAGTGGGGAGAGTGGTGTGTTAAAATCCCCAACGATTAATGTCTTTGGATCTATATGGGATTTGAGGGAAAGTAGTGTTTCTTTGATAAATTTGGGTGCTCCATTGTTTGGCGAATAGATATTTAGAATTGTAATATCCTCCTGAAGGAGAGATCCTTTAATTAGTATGTAGCGACCTTCTTTATCTCTTTTCATGAATTTTAATTTGAAGTCTATTTTATCTGATATTAGGATTGCAACTCCCGCCTGTTTATGCGGTCCGTTTGCTTGGTAGATTTTGTTCCAGCCTTTAACATTGAAAATGTGTTTGTTTTTATGGGCAAGATGTGACTCCTGCAGGCAGCAGATAGAAGGGTCTTGTTTTTTAATCCAACTAGACAGTCTATGTCGCTTAATTGGAGAGTTCAGTCCGTTAACATTAAGAGATAGGACTGAGAGGTATTTGGGAGTTCCTGCCATGTTATCTACCTTCTTGGGGGCTGCGAAAACTGGGTTCTTCCTATGGTTCTTGGATTCTCAGTTTGGGTGCAGTTTCTTGGCCTTTATTGCGGTCTTGTTGGTTTTCTATGTGTAGGACATCTTTAAGAATCTTTTGTAGGGCTGGTTTGGTGGAGATGTATTGTTTCAATTTTTCTTTGCTATGGAAGGTTTTTATTTGGCCTTCAGTTATGAAGGAGAGTTTAGCTGGGTACAGTATTCTTGGTTGATAGTTGTTTGTTTTTAGGGCATGGCATACATCATTCCAGGCTCTTCTTGCTTTGATTGTCTCTGCTGAGAAATCTGAGGTGATTCTAATTGGTTTCCCTTTATAAGTGATTACCCTTTTCTCCCTGACAGCTTTAAGGATCTTTTCCTTGTTCTGAGTTGATCCTGTGTGGATTATAATGTGGCGGTGGGATGTCCTATTCTGGTCTGGTCTATTTGGGGTTCTAAAGGCTTCTTGTATCTGGACAGGCCTATCTTTTTGCATGTTTGGGAAGTTCTCTGCTAGGATCCTGTTAGACAGATTTCCTAGACCATTAACTTCTGTTTCTAGGTGTTCCTCTACACCCATTATCCTTAGATTAGGCCTTCTGATGGTGTCTTCCAGGTGTTGGATAGATCTATCATATTTCTTGGACTTGTCTTGGATGGTTGTATGTTCTTTCTCTATAATATCTAGGCTGTCTTCAATCCCTGAGATTCGATCTTCTGCATGGTCTAACCTGCTGTCAAGACTCTCTACTTTGTTTTTTATCTCTTTTCCTTCTAGTTGATCAGCTTTGATGGCTTCAAGTTCTTTGTTGAAGCTCTGTTTTAGGTCTTGTATGAATTTCTTTACTTCCTTAATTTGGTGTTCAGTGTTTGTCCTCAAATCACTTAGTTGATTGGTTATGGTTTCTTTGGGCTCCCATTCCTTCTGTTGGGTTCCATTCAGCATTCCCTTTGTGGTCTCCCTGACTTCCTTCAGCTCTTTGTTAATGGATTCCATGAATGCCTTTAGTGATCTTTGTGTGTTCTCTACCTGGTCTCTCAATTCCTGTATTACTCTTTGATTAGCTTCCTCCCGTTCGTGGGATTCCTGCAGATCTCTTTGAGTGTTCTCAGCCTGCTCACGCCATTCCTCCCTTTCTCTTTGAGTATTCTCAAGTTGTTCACGCAAATCCTGTATCAGTTTTTGAGTAGCTTCCTCACGCTTATGATATTCCTGTATAAACTTCTGGGATGCCTCCTCTCTCTCCCTATCACGCTCATACAGAGTCCTTTGTACGTTGTCAAACTTTTCATTTATCATGTTTGCCACCAGTGTTTGTAGAGCTGTTTGGGAACTCTCCTCTGGATTATTCATTATCTGTTCTAACCCCTGATTATCAGGATTGGGAATTGAGATACCCGAATTTGCCATTTTTCTTGTGTTTTTCCGGCTTACTCTGCCCATTTGAGATGAAGATAGCACCAGTTTTGTGCTAGAACACTATCTTAAGGCAAGCATCAACCAAAGTTTGCATTTGTACAGTCAATAGTCTACAGATACAATCTAGTTCAACAGATACATCTATTCGACATCAAACAACTATATGTTAAAGAACTTCGAACCGCAGAGAAGAATTTGGAAAGCCAGAAATTATTAGGGTTAGGAAGAGATGTGGGTAAAAAATAGGAATAGATTGGTGTGGGGAGGCACAGGGAGAGTTAACTATGTCCTAATCACAATGCAGGAAATAGGTTGGGTAGGATGTAAGTAGAGAGAGAGAGAAAAAGAAGAAAGGGGAAGGGGAATGAAAAGAGACCAGAAAAAAAATAGAAACGTAAAAATTAATGTTATTTTAGAGATTAAAAGACTATCTATTTATAGAGGAATATGAATATGTTGAGAGAAAGGGAGGGACATAGAGGAGATGAGAAAAACTTTAAAAAAATGCTTAAAATATTGTATAGGTATAAAGTACTGCTATTAGTGAATTTAAGTCTCAGAGGTTTTGAATTGAGTAATAAGTTTGTGGATTAAGTGTGTACACAATGGGGGATAGGGTCTACTGGTTAACTACGGGTTTATCTGAGGATGTGCGGGACAAGAGTTAAGTCACATAAAGATGAACAAAGAGGAAAAGATGAAAAGGATAGGAAAGTGAGAAGAAAAGATCAGAAGTTCAGTAGAGCTAGAAAAAAAAAAACAAAAAGATAATTAAGAATGAAAGAAAAAGAGAAAGAAGACAAGAAAAGAAAAGAAAACACACATTCACGTATTCCTAAAATAAAAATTATAAGAGGAGAAAAAAAAAAAAGTTAATGGAAAACAATTATTTTTTCAGAAGAGTCAAAAATTAAAGATTAATAAAAGTTTTAGAAAAGCAAAAAAATTTTTTATATATATATAAGGTAACAAAAAACGAAAAAAAACAAAACAAGAAAAAGAAAAAAAGAAAAGAAGAAGAAGAAAAAAAAAGTTCTTTGATTTTTTTTTTTTTTTTTTTGGGAGGGGTGGGAAGAGTCCTGTATCTCCCTTTTGTCTGTAACCAGAGTCTGGTTGGAGTCTCTGGTCAGCTTGAGGTCCTGTGGCTTGATTGGTTTCTTAAGTCAGTTTGTTGGAACAGGCAGGAAAATGCTCTGCTTTACCCAAGATTTTGAGATCCCCCTCCCAGGTTAGTTTACTGGGAGGGTGATCTGCTTTGAGAATCACAAAAGAGGGGGATGCAGTGATGAGGCTAGGTTCTGGGTAGAGTTGAGGCCTTTCAACGAACAGTAGCTTTTCCCTGGGGCTATTTTGTGAAAAAAAACTCACAGCACCCAGCCTGGAGCCATTCTCAGGGTTTCTGTTTTTCAATTGATTGTGGTGGCTGCTAGAGGGAGGGGCAGCCTCTGGCTCTGGCCACCCAGCGAGGAGAGCCACTCCAGTGGCTGGTGCCTGAGCTGGGCGACCCCTCCCTGGATGGAACTGAGTCTGTGAGGTCACCTCGCCGCCAAGTTCCTGTGACCTGCCAAATGACTAGCTCTATTCCAAGGCCTGAGCTGGAGCTAGCCGCTCCTCCGAGCTTTGTCGGTATCCAAGATGGAGATCACCGGTGCTGGGGGGGGAGGGGTGGCCTTCCCTCCTCTGCTCCCAGAGGAGTGAGGAAGTGGGGCTTCTACTCACGCGGAGTCTTGGATCTCGGGTCGTCTCTGGTCTGCAAAGTGCAGGATGAAGTTGTCCGCTCCTTGTCGGTTCTTGCTGGTGTTGAGTAGAATCTGCTCGTCCGCTGGGTCTGGCTCCTTCGTCCCGGACTGCGTCTCAGGTATGCCTCCGCGGCGGTGGTCACTGCTGCGACCCTGCCGCCGCAGCGGCAGCTGCTCAGATGTGTCTGCTTGGCTTCCCCTCTCTTGACTAACTCTCTGTCCTGTGATGGCACACTTGGTGTGATTCTCTGGCTTGGGACTGTTCACTGGAACTCTGAAACTGTTTTCTATGCAAGAGCTTGTTCAGATTCCAGCTTCTCCTCCGCCATCTTCCCGGAACTCCTAATTTCATTTTTAACAGCTATGTACCATGTCTATTCTTGACTGCATCTCTTGAAATTCTTTGGCTATCTCTTCTTTGTATTTGAATCGCGGATCTACTCATCACCCTATTTCTTTGGCCAATTCCTTCATCATCTCTTTCATTGATCATTTGTCCTCCATTTCTTCTTCACTCTCACTAGAGTTCTTTCCTGAGTTGCTGCTGGCTATGGAGTTGTTTTTCTGTCTTGACTATTCATGCGTTTTATAATTTTTTTTGCTGCGATGTTCACCCGAGGATCTGGGGATTAGTAGTCAAAGCCCAAACTCTGACTGTTTTTGGTCAATAGGTGGCAGCCTTTGCTTGGTTCTGGGTTTGTTCCCGGTTGGTTGTCAGTGGTGGTCTCCAGTCACAGGCTGGCTGAAAGGAATTCTGCCCGGTCTGCAGCCAAGAATGAGCGGGTTGATGGGTTTTCCAAAGTAGTAATTACTTTCAGAAGGGTTGGGCTTGTGATGGGTGCACTGGGTGTGGTTTTGGTTGTGTATGCCTTGGCCCTGGGTGGTTTCTCTCCTCTCCAGGGTTTCTTGATCCCTTGCTTCTTATGCATACGGGAGTGCTCCGCCCATGGTCAGCACTCACACTCATGGCACCCCAGACCGGACAGGGATTTCAGCACACACCACACCTGTGGGGGTGTGCTGGCCGCGGGGTCAGGTATGCTCTTTCCCTGCAGGAGCTGGAATTCAGGTGCCTCGGGTGGGCAGATCCTGTGAGGAGAGAGGCCCAGGCCTCCAGCCACGGGGTTGCTGCCTGGCGTGGCGCACACATCGGTGCCCTGGGTGCTGGGGAGGGGGGTAGGGAATGGACGTCCTCTGCTGCTGGGCATCCCAGCTAGCAGGGGAGGGGTGGACACCTGCCTATGAGCTTTGCCAGGTGTAAGTGGAGCTCAGCTACCCAGCTTGGCAGGTTTGGGTGGGGGTAGTGGTGGAGGAGGATTCTGTCCTCTCTGTTCCCTTACAGTGCGGCAGTCCTTCCTGGGCAGGGCAGTGGGGGTCCAGTAAGCCCTGCTGGTCACCGCCAGTGTTGGCCTCTATGGAGGAGGCCCCTCCACCCCCCGGCAGGATACGCAGGGTCCTGGGACCGGTTGTGGACTGACCAGTGTGCTGTGGGAGGTGCTGCGCTCCTAATCTCAGCCTGTCTGCACCATCCAGGTGGGACTCTTCTACATCAGGGTTCCCGCAGATCCCTGATGGTGCTGAGATGCTGAGCAGCTGCGGGGCGCTGTCCAGGCCTGGGGTGCTGAAACATGTTCCCGCCATGTGTACACAGGGAGGTCCCTCTTTGTGAGCACAGTTTACTTGCTCCCCCACCCTTCTTTTCTCCATCTGTTCCTGTGATTCTCTCTTACTCAGTTGTTTTGCTGTTGGAGGTCTCTTGGGGGCTTAGGGGGTGTGGATTCTCCTTTCTCTCTTTTTGGTTGGAGAGACTTAGGGTGAGTCTTGGGGTCCTCCAAATAAACACCTATAACTCAAATGTTATTTTCCATTGTTTAAGGTCTGTTTCCCCGAGTATGTAAGGTACAGTGGATACAGTGCCAACAATGGTTTCAATCTTAATTAGTAACCTACAGGGCTATATTCAGCTAAATTTAATCAGTTCAATAAGTTGTGGTTTCTAAACTCTCATCATGACCACGATTGAGATTTGTTGTCACAGATTTGATCCTCTGCAGCATTTACAGTCAGACCCACAGAAAGATAAACAACTCTTACCAATATTTTTTGGTCAAACTTAACTTTTATTGTTAATAAGTTCCAGGTAAGCCTTGCTTAAAAAATGATTTATGAAGTTCTCCTCGTTGCTTCAATTGGAAATGAAAAGGGCTTTTGGCATCGATGCTCACTTGATCTGTCAGTCACTCCCTATCACCATGGGACATGCCATCTCAGCACCTAGCAAGAAGAGACCTCCTAGACCCCCGGGACAGAGCTAGTCCTGGTGATGAGGTCTACCCCGAGGCATTTGGAAAAAACTTCACAGATGAGGGTGGATGGTGCGACATCCTAAATGGAGTCACTCTGTGCTTGCCCTTCAAAACTCACCAGAGCCAGGAGGTCAAAAGAAAATATTTATAAGTATGCCTATTTAATGCCCATGCCCATCTTTCTTGTAAGTGGACAGGAACTTACACTCTTGACCTTGATACCTTCTACGTCTACTTATACCGGGTCTCCCATACATATTCTGTAGTGCAAACATCTGTAATCCAGGTATCTATAGTCCAGATACGGTAAGATCAAGGCCTCCCACTGGGATCTTAACCACTGCAATCCAGCCCTAGCTTCGGAGTGGTAATTCTTAACCAGTCCATTTTGCTCTCCCCTATGCAGTTGCTGGATGTTAATCAGTCAGAAGTAGTCAGGGACCTGATCCACCAGTCACAGGGCCACCTGGATTGCAAGAGAGAGGGACTGGCTAGATCATCCACCATTTGTCCTTTCCACTGTGACTGGATGGCTGCCGGTCCCTTTGTGTTTGTGTGCCCTCTAGTAATGTTTTGACTTACTGTTCAGTCTATGCCTCATAAGACTTCTTTCAGAATTCAGCCAAGGATGCTTACATGTGTTCACCACCCAGGAACGGTTACTGCCTCCTCCTGGACCACATGACGCCTCTGCCTTCTATCCCCAAGCTTAACTCCACCTGCTAGCAGGAAGTAGCTATAGATATTTGGTGCTCCTTTTTAACTATCAAAAGTTTGGAATGTTAAGCCTGCTCAGGGAACAATGGAACCTTCTCTTCTCTCTTCTCCAGGGAAAAGCATATGTGGATGCACAACCCTTTGGTATCCCCAAGGAACAGCAGGCAGACCAACCTAGAAGTCCCTGCCCAGCACCATAAACCCAGGTAACTGGTGTACCTGGGAGTACCCCATGCTAATGGGTCACTTCTACATTGGTAGCCACACCCCCTCGTCACTGCCCTAAGTTGGCTCTCTGCACACCAACATATCATGAAGGGTACAAGATGGGCTCTCCCCAATGAACTCCCTTCTGCCTGAACCACGTGGCAGTCTCCTCTCAGAAAACTGTACACTTGGGTGCTGAGAAATGATAACCTTCTACATATTCTTTTGGAAATGACTTTATTGATTCATTAATACAGTAAATTGTGAACAGTCAAGGACTGCCCTAGAACATGAGCCAGTTGCTCACAATCATTTAGAAAAACAAGGTCATGGTCCAGTTCTTTCCAGGCTGAATCCACTACAGATTCCTGATAATGTGTGCCCATGTAGCCCAACATAGTTATGATTGAAATGAAAAGTCCAGAAACAGAGGTTCTCTCTCTTCCACCCATTCTGAATGTTGGGGACGGTGCTCCTGGAGAATGCTCTTATGTCAGATCTTTCATTTTGTCTTTTATTTCTTAACTTTTTTCCAGTCCAATGACTCTAAATAAGGACCTGGACACTGTCTCTGAGCTTCTTTTCTTAAGGTTAATACTCTGCCACTTGAACAACAGTGCCACTTCCAGCTTTTTCTGTGTATGTGGTACTGATGAATCAAACAAGGGCTTTGTGCAAGCCAGGCGAGGGCTCTACCACTGAGCCACAATCCCAACTCCAACTTTCATTTTGGAGTGCTCAGATGAGAGCCCAGGAGAGGCTCCTGACTACAGAGGCAGAGCAGAAAGGCCAGGAAGATTCTCGACGGTGACCACCCAGTAGCCATCAGGCCCCAGGTTGTAAAATGTCCAGTATTTGTAATGATGACAGAAATTGATACAGATCTGGACCTTCTGAGTAGTCCCCATGTCTCTCAATGACTGCTCCAACTGAGCCTGAACGTGGGCAAATCTCTCAGGTTCAAAGTCCCCTACCCACCGTTCATGACAGGGGTAGCACTCCAGAGGGGCAGGATAGATCCCTTGTCTCAAACAGTCCAACCTGGCCATGTGGCTCAGGAGGCTCTGCAGGACAGAAATGGAGATGTGGTTTCCATAGAAACTGAAGAAGCTGAGCTGGGAGCACAGGCTCAGGGCGGGCAGGATGCCCAAGAGCTGGGGATCCGTGATGGCACAGTCCTCCAGGGCCAGGGTCTCCAGGGTGCCAGCCGCGTGCTTCAGTAGGACTCTCAGGGGCTCAGGACTGAAGTTGTCCAGGGGCAAACTCCTCAGACGCAGGTGCTTGAGCTGCCTGGAGCAGGGCCACTGGGACAGGAACCACAAGTCAGCCTCCTTCAGTGGACACGAACTCAGAGACAAGGTCTTCAAAAGGGTGAGGTTCCTGAGGATGGTGGGCAGCTGTCCATAAAGGAAGAAGACTTTGTGCACATACAGCTCCTGCAGATGCTGCAGCTGTCCCAGATGTACAGCATATTTGCAGGAATATGAGAAATTCTTGTGTCTGCAAGTGACGTTCACTCTCATCCTGGAGAATTGGAGGATGCGAAGGTTCTTCATCTGACTTAGGTAAGGGACAATATTTTTCATGGTTTCTCTATGCCAGAATTTATTCACCTTTAGCTCTTGGATGGAGTCCAGCCTCACCACACGCAGAGCCTTCTGGATTTCAGAGATGGAGTCAGACAGAATCCGCAGCTTCCTGGAGCACAGCTGAACTCGTTCTCGCCTCTCCCTGACCCACTGGAGCAGGTGGCCTTGGAGAGCATCCTGGGTGCCATGTTTGATGGTCAGGTCCATGAGTAAAATCAAGGGCTGCTCTTCAGTCATCATTGAACCACAGTTCTCTGTTGGCCTGTCAGTCAGGACATCTGGATAAGAGATTTGGGCCATTGAAGGGTAGCCCTCTATCCAGATGTTGGGGTGGTCATTCCGCAGGTCGAGAAATTGCAGTTTCCACCGACTGGGGTGCTCTTTCTTGGCCAGTAGCAGATTGAGCCCTTCCAGGACAGCGTTCAAGGTTTCCAGGTTTGGAGACTCTTCCAGGTCCCCCAGGGGGAGGCAGGAGAAGGGCCAGGCTTGCACCAGGGCCTTCAGCATCTCTGTGTGGGCCCTGGCATAGACCTCCACGAACAGTGAAGGGAACAGCAACACCGGTAGATCCTCCAGGGCAGAGATGGCCAGAGCCTGGTTGCTCAGCAGGCTCTGCATGGCCTGATACTGGAGCGAGGGTGGGGTCCTGCGGCTCATCTTCACAGCCAGAAGTGGAGCAGATGTGGACCAGGTGTGCAGGACTCTCTGAATCCCAGCAGGGCCAGGCACTCAAGGCAGACTCCAGGACTCTGCTCTTTTCTTGCTCTTTGACATCTTTATACCCCAGTCCCACCCCCCCTCTAAGTATCTACCAATGGGAGAGCAGATTCTGATGGGATTTCTGAGTAACACCCACCACACCCTGGCTTGGTCTAAGCATCTAGCTTAATTGAAACAGAGATTCTACCCAGACTGATAGGATTATAGGCAAGACCCACTGGGCCCAGCTTCCATTTCAAATGTGTAACACACACACACACACACACACACACACACACACACACACACACACACACTACCACACTTCGGCCCTTATTTGTTAACCCTTTGAGAAATTTCCACAGATATTTCACTTCCTTGAGCCTGCAAATATTCCAAGAACATCAGCCAGCCCAATCTTATAGCATCCACAAACACTTCTCTAGAAAATTATTTCCCTCCTTCCCTTCCTTCCTTCCTTCCTTCCATCCTTCCTTCCTTCCTTCCTGTCTTTTTTTTATTGTTCATCTCACAACTTGAATTGAGGGCATGGCCAGTGTCCTTGAGCTTCTTTTCCTCAATGCTTTTGCTCCAACATTTGAATCACAACAGTACTTTCCTCTTTTTTCTGTGGAGTTTATTGAAGATAGGAATCTAAGTCATGGCAGAGATATGGCTGTTTATCAGAAAACCAGAGAAATACAGTGAGAAATGTCAAGGCAGAATCCCTAAAAAGGTGGATAACATGGCAGGATTACCAAACACTTCTCAGTCCTCACTCTCAATGTTAACTCTTTAATTCAATGACATAGATTCACTAGTAGCATAAAAGAGCAAGATCTACCCATGTGCAAGACACACCTTGCCAAGAAAAACAAACATTTTGAATGTTTGCATTTTGAATAAATCTTTTCAAGAAAATTGCTCCCATAAACAGGTTGGAGTAGCAATAATAATATCAGAAAAAAATAGATTTCAATTTAAAATTAGAAGAGACAAAGGGCATTACAAACTAATAAAGGGATCTCTTCTAGAAGTTTCTAACAATTCTAAATATCTATTCACCAATACCAGAACACCCAACTTCATCAAACTAAAACTACAGGACCTAAAAAAACCCATA